TATATATCATTTTAATCATCTCATTTATCCATGTATTACAATCTTCACAATATAAGATTATATATTGATGGTGACCAAAAAGCTTAATGACTAACCTTTATTATAATCTATGGTGATGGATGTCTGATCGACATGTTGGGCCAAGGCGTAATCTGGATAATTAGGAAATTGGCCATTGGGACCAATGGCAAACAAGAGATTTGAAGAAGGTTGGGTGGTTTTCAACTGGAAGATGAGGTAGCCAAGCGAATCAGTTGCTGGGACAAAGGATGCATTCATAACATAAATGTCACCTTTGTTACGAATCACTTCATTTGGTGATTTTCCAGCCAGATAGTACAATTGCATACCCCCAGTACCTGGAGATGGCATCCACCCCACTATTGCACTAGAACCCACCATGCTACCATCTTTCGAGAACCCTATAGCCGCATAAGCCTTTAAGTCCAAAGGGAATGAGAATATGAAGCTCCACACATCTGATGAAGCCTTAGCATACTGTTCACAAACACACAAACAACAAATTAGCTAATTAGTTTTTAATTAATTGCCACACTAAATTCAGTTCCTTAAACTAGGTCTAAGACTTTAGTCTCGTGCATGAAAAAAATAGTCAATTAAATTTTCGGATAGAAATTAATCATCAATAAAATTAGTATATAAGTATTTTATCCTCTACTAAAAATGATCTAATTTCTCGATAAATATTAGTTATAAATGAAGTTAATGGATATTTCACATAGATAACATAGATAAAAAAATGTCTGACTAAACACAAACACATACTCTAAGGATGAAATTGTGAGTAGGCCACACTGGGCTGCATAGAAGTGCACTTGTATCGAAAGGGTAAGGAAGCTGAATTTGCACCAATTTGGAGGAGCATGAATCTTGAGAAGTCACAAAGGTTGATGAACTATAAAGGATAATGAACAAGAGTATTTGGCATTGGCAAAAGTGTGTGAGCTTCATCTTTGCGTGGAAGTAGCTACTTAGGATGTGCCATTGATTATGTTACGTTTTATAGTGAGAATTGAGAAACGTATCCCTCGTAATTAACGAGCTGTTTCTGACAATTGGCATTGCCGGCTGGAACATGACAATGGACATGCAGACACGGTTATGGTTTCGTTCAAACGTTCGATAACACCGACCCGGACTGCGTACGATGTTAATTTCCTTTTAGAAAATTGATCAAAAAGATATCATAATAAATTTATGAGTTAAATAAAAGGAAGTACTTGTTGGAATATTATTGTCTTGCAGCAAGCTACTTCTCACGGTAGGGAAAATATTAAGAAGCACAAGTCAGAAAGTGACCTGAACGTGACATATACTTCTGCTGCTATGCAAAATAAGATTTTTGACTTTTGCATATTACTTTTTTAATGTGTCATTTTAATTATCTTCCTGTAAAATAATGTCTTTCATTGATAACTCTTGCATGGAATACGTGAATCTTGCATAGGAGTTAATAATATTATGCAGAAAATTGTGATGTATGAATATATAGTACAACAACTTTATTTCCCTTGACTTGAATAAATTTCTGGATTTGTCCTTGACTAATTAAAATGGCACAACTTTTATATCCCTTAACTTATTTTCTGCCAAAAAGGAATCCCGAAACAAACGCTTCGATTTCACAGTTAAAAAGGAATGTTCTGCCCTACAATGGTCCAAATTTGGCGAAATTTTCAAACACGTAGGAAGGGATTGTTCCTTTCAAAGTGCTTATGCTATCTCTATGTCTTTACTTTTTGCTACATCACTCCATGTCAATATCTTTCTTTTAATTTTGTGTGCACGCATATTAAGGATAAATACAAGAAATTTGATTTGTAATCATATATAGTGGTCGGTGTAATTTACATTTCTAACCATATGTATGTTGACATCGGCCGATTAAGATATAATAGTAATAACAACTTATGGTGAATCTTATCATTAAGTAATAGTCTTGAGATTAAAATTAATAAGCTAGATTCAATTTTTAATTAAAGTTATATTTTTAACTAATAATTAACTCGGTGTCAAAAAAAGAAACTAATAATTAACTCATGATGATAAAAATTGTCAAAACGTTAGATAAAATGCTACCATAGTATTCACTCGCATTTTTATCACCTTGTAGGTAAACATTTCAAAAGTATTTCAGTTGTTTCTTTTAAAAAAAATTATGAATGTAAACAAAATATAAATTAGCTTTCACTTTTTTAAAACAAAATATAAATTAGCTTTCACTTTTTTAAAAATCTCTAAAAAATAATCACTAGAGTATTTTACACCAATATTACATTCTTTTAACAAATTGACTCTAAATTCGTATTAAATTTGATGGCACGAGACTTGTTTTCATTCTTTTTAGTTGCAGCACCTATATATGGCTCGTAATAACTTTTTTCCCCCTCTTTTGGCTTTGTTCTCCTACATATAATGAACTACTCATAGCAATTTGTTGAAGCTTTCAAGAGGAAGAGGTATAGTTAATATGTGTCTAACATAAAAATTAATTCATTAGCAATTCTCTCCGTACAAAAATAAGTTTACAAATGGAATTGAAAAGCTTCCAAACAAAAAACAGTGATGAAACAAAACAAAAGCTATATAGGAAATAGTTTAGTCTCTACTACACAATTGTGCCTCAAAAGTAATTGCCATAGTGAGTAATATAGCAAGCACAATTCCATAACCAATATTCCATCCACTTCCCTCCTTACCTAATTGGATTCCGTAGAAAATGTTAGCTACGGCTAGTATAATCAAAATCCTCCCCATGTTATGATGGTATAAATTCCAATACTTTCTCACTTTTGATTCCTTCTTCGGTCGACCAAGAATAGCCATTATCTACAAAAGCAAATACACGATGATAGTAGAGACATATTTGAAAGAGATATTTAATAACATTTAAATAAGGATAGTAGCTTATTAGCAAAATAAATTACTCTCAAATAAAAGTGTGCTCGAAATTATTACATAGAAGCTGGTGTATTTATTCTGTCTATTATATTCAAAATATTATACTCAAAGACATATTTAAATTAATTAGTAAAATAGATATTTATGCTGAATAATAATGACCTCTAAATTATACTCAAAGAGTTAGGGCAACGTTCCAAATTCAACTAATAATTTTATGGTTACTTTTCGGTGATGATTAAGTTTTAATTTGAAGTTGTCGAAGATATGGATAATAATTATTTTACATGAAGTCTTTTACTTGTCCCAGTAAGTACTTTTCATGTTGTTATTGGTCTCACTAGAAGTGGAAACACAAATAATATAAATATTTGTATTATTGCTAAAGTTAAGGATATAATTAATAATTAGTCCTCAAAACAAATTCAAAGATAATTAAATAAATGAAATTTCATAATAATATATACCTATATATAAAAGCGATAGAGTGTTTTCATGTATATAATTTTTTAAACTATTTTATTCTTTTAATTATTTACAAACTACTCTCTTTCTCTTTCACTATTTTTTTTTTATTGTTTTTATTCTCTCTTTTCTACTTTCCCATAAATTTCACTTACTCTTCAAATTTCTGACACTCTCTAATTATCCACTCACTTTATTATCTCTGTTATCTATTTTTTTTAAAACAAGTGAAACCTCTTTCCATCTAAAAAAATAATGAAAGTTAAGGAAAAGAAATTTGATAAGTCTTCCATTTTTTTTGAATTTATATTTAGTCACACACTGTAGTGGCCCAGCTATACGACGGGCCCACATCGTAAACAGGCCCAAGCGCTAGGTTACTCAGCCCACATGACTTAGGACTATGTTTAGAATATTCATGTTGTAATTCAATCTCATCCATCCATGTGGAAGGTGCAGATCAGCCAGATCTTTTATCCATTTCAACTTTTATCTTAGTCTCGCTTAATTGTGTAACATCATTATAAATCATAATGTATTATAAGTTTGTTAAATTTTATAATTAGAGTAAATTCTCTACACAAACAGCACATAAACCTTATAATGTAATGTTAAGGACTAAATCAAATAATGGTACTAATTTTAGAAATCAAAATAATGTTTTTTTAATTTTAATACGTATTATCAACATACATCATATAAGTTAAAATGTTTTGGATAAAGTGAAAAATTATCAAAATGTTAACATGAATGAACGAATGAATACCTGGAGGCAACCTAGAACGAGAATGATGATTCCAAGAGCCTTGTGAAGACTAACGTCTATATGGAGTTGATTATTCAAGACAAGACCACTAATTACACCAATTACTCCCAGAACAAAACCCAAGAATTGAACTGAAGCATGGAAATAAAACCAAAATGGATCCCATTCCTTGAAGTAGCGAGCAACTATTGCTCCCATTACGATTAGGACACCCCATCCCAAGATATTCAACACTCCGTGGCTTCTTTTCAGGTTCATATATGAGTTTGATGCACTTGAACCTGTTTCAAATCAAATCATAAACAAAACCTTTGTGAGAGCAAGAACAAAAGTATTTTCCCAATTTACATGAATATCCATCCACAAGGCAGAACAAAATGTTCTGCGTTAGATCAAACTCGATTTTGCACCACAAACAATTAACAATGTATCAGACATTCCAAATGTTTTGGAAGAAAAAAATATGGAATGTTTACATCTTCAATCAACTTAGAAATGATGATTTTAATTAACGAGCCAAATTTACTTGATAATAGAACTAAAACATAAGGGGGGGAAAGAAAAAGAACTAGAACATGTGGGTTAGGTTTTGGTAGAGGGTCGAATCAGATTTACATTTCAACTAGATTATTCTTGACATCAAGATGAGAAAAGAATGTTCTCTCAACAACCACAAACCACTGCCAAGGTATAGTTTGACAGTGTGGAAGGGCCATGTAATGTATAGGTCCAACTCCAATCATTATTTGTCAAAATCAACTCAAAAGGTCAACACTAGAATAATTGCCCAATTCATTTTTCCCTTTTTTTTTTGTTGAGACTATATATATTCTATACCGAAACTTTTGCTCTCAATATTTAACAGAAATACATATTTTAAGACATGAAGTGGAGATCATTGATAAATCCAAATTTTTCCTTAGTTACATTGAATTAATTTGTTCCCAAAATGATGAAAAAACACGTGCATGGCTTCTTTTGACTAACCTGTTGCGTAATTCAACGTAGTGGAGACTTTGTCTTGGTGCTGTGTTAATGCAAAACTTGGTGCCGAAGGGAAGATACCGTTAGGTCCAAAGGCATATAGGATCCGGGACAGTGGTTGGTTGGTTTGTAACTGAAAGGCCATGTACAAACGTGAGGACTGTGATGTAATGAAGGTTGAGTTGATGAGAACTTTTAAGTTGCCTCTGTCTGGCACCACCTGGCTTGGTGCAAGTCCTGTTAGATAATACTGCTTCATGCCTCCACCAGCACCACTGGTTGAGATCCACCCCACAATGGCACTTGAACCAATCATGGCTCCATTGGGAGAGAACCCCATTGCTATGTATGAATTTGGATTTGGTGCTGAGAGAATGAAGCTCCATATGTTTGGAGAAGTCTGTGAATACTGCATAGTTAATGCACATATAAACGGTTAGTTGGTTTTTATGATTGGTCACAATTAAACTTTTGTTGAATTCAAAGTTGAACTTACAAAAGTACTCAACCATCTTTTATAGTCTTTTCTAATTTGTTTCCATAAATTTGACAGAAAAGCTTATCAAAATAGACTAGTTCTTTTCAGCTTCTTAAACTTCTTAGTCAAGCTTTTGAATAGGTTTTCATTTTGATAAGAATTCATTGAATTAGTATTTGATTAAACTGTTTATCCAAACACACTTTTGATCTTGAAATGGGATCCACAATCACAATTAGAATGACAGTAATGAAATTTACATGATTATTTTTATCATGGTCATATGATGCATGGTGTTGGTATTAAAAATGTTAATGAATCGATTGAAACTGATTAAGTTCAAGAATAATGTACTTACTCTAAGGATGTATCCTTGAGCATTCCAAACAGGAAGACAATTGAGCTTGGTTGTGTCGAAGAGGAGAGGAACACTGAGGTTTAGGTTGGAGCTACAAGAGTCTGCTTGTGAACCAATTCCATCTACTTGTGATGAAGAATTTCCAACCCCTTGTGAACTTCCAATGTTGGCTGAAGCAAGGAAACAAATAATGAAGATGAGGAATGCTACAGATGCCTTCATTACTCTATATTGTTTATGCTTGTGTGAGCAAACGTATTCGTGAGATTGTTGAAGTAAGAAGACGTATTGCAATATGATTAATTAAAGGAAAGGGAATGATTGTTACAACTAAACTAAGGTATTGGTAGCAGTGTATCAATAATTTTGGCCATTATCGATTAAGTAGATTAGGTGAAAGGAAGGCTAACTTAAACCATTAAGCGTCCTTTTATTCATAATAAAAGACTGATTTTAATTATGATGAAAATCATTATAAAAACAGAATAAACAATACTGAAATATCTTTTCCGTTGTCATCCGATAACAAATTCTAATTAATTGAAAGTGTAAAACTTTTACATTAACAACGTATACTTGCAGTGCATACATGATACATGTTAAACTCATAAAAATATGACATAATGACATGGATCAAACTTGCCTCAAAATCAAAGACATTAAAGTGTTAATAATTTAGGTTTCCAAAAACGATGTGGATTTTTTCCCTCTGCTTTTCATTCAGATTCACTAGTATCACTTTTGACGTAACTTAATTGAAAAATACCCTTCATATGCAGTGATCCGTCTTATATTAAAAAAATACGGTATTTAAAAAAAATATATTTTTCTTTATAGACACCATTCACCAAGGAATACAATTATCATGTTTTAGATAATTTGCTTTTCTTTTTTCTAGTGAAAAGAGAAATGAACTTTGGAGTCTCATCTCAGGATGATTTGAAAAGGAAAAAAAAGAAAGTGTAGAGTACATAATCCCAATAAAATCTTTAATTGGGAATTTCAATTTATTAATCATATTATTTTAGTGAAATAATAGCATGGTAATGTTTACTTTAACAATGATATTCATATACTTATAGTATTTTTACTTCTCTATTTTATTTTTCTGTCTTTTTCTATCTTATACTATTTATACAGTATTTTATTTGTCTTTTCTCGCTGTATCGTAGTGTATATCTATCATTTTTATTTCAACTTATATCCCCCTAAAGTAGTCAACTATTACTCACTAATTGTTCGGCTTGTTTTGTAGTTCTTTCTCTCGGGTCAGTATACCTTCAGGTTACCCAAAAGTTTAGAGTTTCTTATTATAAATATTTAAGTGTTTTAGTTCGAGAACAAACTTAACTAAATCTGTATACCCACTACCTTTTATACATGAATAATTCTAAATCTTCATATTTCATCTTCTTATTTTCTATTCCAAGTAATTCTCCTACTTTCTTTTACGGCAAATGTTGAATTATATGTTTTATATTTTCTAGATACTAAATAAATTTATTTCTCATTTAATATTTTCTTTATAATGTAGTAGAAAAATATAACATTATTCAGTTCCGAGTTAGCTATACTCGAGTAATTATACTATGGATAGTATCTCTTATAGTAGATATTAATGAACAAACCCTCTTTTCCTATACTTTCAAAGAAAAAGAATCAATATCAATATAGATATAGATATATTCAAAGCTACGATGGATACGAAATGATGCATGACTTTTTTGTGTGTGTGATTTTGCGGCAAGTATAACAGAATGATGATACAACTTTTTAAAACTAAACTATACGCTGATAATTCACTAAAAGATGTTATCATCTGCTTGAGCCTTTTCGTATTATAAAGGTCTATAACATGACTTGAGGAGGCAAAAGGAATAGCAGATCTCACTGAAATTTGATTTTAAACCAGCATCGGTTCAAGGGTAGTTGAAGTCTATGACAAAAATTGACATTAGGATCCCTTAATACTGTAAAATATGAATTTTAAAAAAATATTTGTTAAGATTTAAAACCAGCCATTAAATTTAAGAATAAATATTTTTCAATTAATAAAATAGTTAAATGATTTAATTTTTCTTGAAAAAAAAGTTTCATTTACAATATATATGTCCAATTGTCCATATATATATTAAAAAAAATTGAGACCCTGTTAAAGTGGGCCCTTAAGCTCGAGTTAGCCCTTTTCTAGAATCAGATTGCTTCAAATAAACTCGATCCGGTTGTTATCCCATAACTTCCAAGTCAGAATATTACAAAAACGTGTGGTACGAATCTAAGGCTAAATAGTATTGTTGTACAAACCAGTTGTCGGCTGTTTTTTTCTCTCTCCCTGTGTCTCGAAAAGATGACTCAATTTTCGAGTGATGGCACTGTGTAACTTCCACTGCTTGCTCTTCTTTGCTTCTTGTTTTTGGCTTTTACTAATTACCAGTAAAGTTTTTGATAAAACATCTCACCCACTCACTCTATAATGCCCAACCAAAGAATTCTCTAGGTGAATGAATTGGGAATAGTAAGCCGTCAATATTCAACCAGAGACATAATGACATATCATGACGCGTACTTGACCATCAGCCACTAATCATATTTACGTTTACCTTGCATTATAGAGAATTGAAAGCAAAAAAAGAAACAGATATTATGTACTAGTTAACTTCATTAGGTTTGGTTTTCAGTTAGGAAGGTCTCAACATCTGTTTAAAAAAGTAAATTTGAAGAAGTCTTTTAGTTAATTCAGTTAAATTTGATTGAAAATTGAATTGTACCTCAATTTTGTCTGAAAACTCAGTTTAAAATGGAAGGATAAAGCATAGTTACTTTTGCAAACTCCATTTACAAATGAAGTTTATTCGAGCTTTAGTTTACAAACATTAATGCCCAAGCAATACTTTTTCAGATTTTGTTTACAGAAAACCAAACCACAGCTTAGTTATTACCAAATTGTAAAGAAAATGAACAATTTATATAAGACAGAATAACAGTTTTTCGCTCTTTTTCTTTCTTTTTAGTTTCATATACAATTAATTATCAAACAGACTGTCCTTTAGAAAATAAACAATTTATTTATAGAAAATAATAGCAATCATCTACGAGAGTATTTGAAGGAGTTAAATTATACTAACCTTTTGAGTAGTCTATTCTTGTGGAGAACTTGTCCAGGTGTTTTGTTAGTGCAAAACTTGGTGCTGCAGGGAATAAACCGGTGGATCCAGTGGCAAATATCAGCCAGGACAAAGGTCCGGTAGTTTCTAACTGAAACACCATGAACAGACGAGAGGACTGTAAAGTGATGAAGGATGAATTGGCTATAACCTGTAGGTTGCCTTTATCAGGAACCACCTGATTTGGTGTGACGCCACCAAGATAATACTGCTTTATCCCTCCACTGGCTCCTCTTGATGCTACCCACCCCACCATGGCACTTGAACCCACCATGCCACCGCTGACCGAGAACCCCATAGCTATGTAAGAATTTGTGTCTGGGGTTGAGAGAACGAAGCTCCAAATGTTTGCAGAAGTCTGAACATACTGCAAAGTTTACACATAATGATTGGTATATATGGTGCTATTGAAATAAGGATATATACATACATGTGATGAAATTCAAACATGCTGCACCTACTCTGAGTATGAAACTTTGAGCATCCCATACAGAAAGGCATTGAAGGTTGGTTGTGTCAAAAAGGATAGGAACATTGAGGCTAAGATTGCTGGCACACGAGTCGGCTTCTGGGCTTGCAAGGAAGATTGAACCAACGAAAGTAATTATGAAGAGAAGTCTTAGAGATGCCTTCATTTGTCTATCTATTATTATTATTGGTGTGGGTGTGTCAGTTTGAAAAATGTTGTGAGCATGAGTAAGTCATACTATTCTTATTGAAACTGGACTTGCTATTCTTACATAGGCTGAAAAGGGGGGGGGGG